GACCATTGAAGACCTGGAGGAGGGGCAGCGGTACTGTGTTCAGGTGGCCTATACGGTCCACGGGGACCTCGTGGAACCACGCAGCTGCATCCAGTGTGAGGTCATCCCTGCATCAGGTAAGCTGCTCTTCTTGGTGTAACGTTCCTTTAACGCGCTCCGACTCCAACCAGAGACACAGATGTAAACGACTCCACTGCTTTTGAATCAGCTGAAGGTTTTAAAGCTGCAGCAGTAAAATCACTGCGTCTGTTTTCTCAGAACACGTGAACAGGACGCCGATGATCGTGGGGCTGCTCGTCGGCATCGTGGTCCTCGCCATTCTTGCATTGGGATACCTCGGGTTTTTCCAAACTGAGAAAATCAAATGCTGCCTACACTAACCATGGTATGCCTCACCGGTAAGACCAACACTGCCGCACACACTCACCACACAGACACCAGTGGGTGCTGTATCCACTCCGAGCGTGTCAGCGGGGCACGTAAAAGAGCTGATTCGACAGTTTGAAAGCCTTCTACTCACGATTACTCAGTGTGTAAGACTGATGTGATTCTTCTTGGTGACTGGTGAGTCAATGAAATGTCCAATGGTGTTAAACACTGGAGAGTACCAGAGTTTACTCGAGAAAGAAAAGTCATTTTCTGTGGTAGAAAAACTTGTTTGACCTTGAATTTCCTGCCACATAACTGGTGGGAGTGTTACAACCAGCTCTGGTCGTCACGCCAGTTTGCTCAGCTTTTGGTTTGTCTTCCTATCAGACAGCGAGTCTCACATCTTTGTATTTACCAACAAACATGTGACATTTAACATTTAACCAACAGAACGTGAGCGGCTGAAATCTCCCAGAGTGACACTTAGACATAAGATCGGTGTTTCACTCACACTGAAACTGACACAGAGTGAAGTGAAACACACAAACAGAACCATATTTACAACACTAGTTAACTTCTGGTAAATCGGCTCCAGTCATCACTCTTGCCTCCTGGGAACTCTCTCTATCACTTCCTCTTTGTCTTCTAACTGACACCCAACCTGTGGGCCACTGACAACATTCAGCATCAACTATTTGATTTCAAACTCATGATCCCGTCTGACCCTCTCTTCACCTCCACTGCTCACAAACACAAATGATTGCCCATCCTCCACTGGTCTTCCTGTTGACACCACGGCACAACAGTTTGAATCCACCTCCAATGATCCTGCTCTTACTTCCCCTCTATCTGTACAACTCATAGTCCCTACATGCTTTAACTTCCTGCTCTCATGTCCACACTTCTGTCTTTCCTTCTCTCTCATTGCTTGCTAACATGCCTTCCCCCAAATCCACAAAACCCCACAACAAAGAAAAACAAAGAAAGGAAAACACTGAGCCACAAACTCTGTCAATTCTAAAAGTGTGGAAAAGTTAATAACAGGCTAAAATTCTAACATGAAACTAAAACAGAGAGCATACTGAACCGGGAACCTTTCAGCATCCTCTGGGTTCAAAGGCACTATCAAGCTGAGCTAACCAGCAGTGCAGCACCAACATCACAGCTAAAAACACTCTGATTGGTTCTCTGCTTCTCAGTTTGACATTCACAAGAAATTGTGTTTCACAAAGTAGTTTATGTGTTCCTCCTTAAAGAAGGAGCAGTTTTTACAAGCTGACCATTAAAGGTTTTAAAGCCCATGAGTTTGTCAGCGCTGAAGATGGTCAAGAGGAAAAGAAAACCAGAAAACCTGGGATCACGCCTCAGATATGGAACAATTCAAAATTGGGAACCGAAAGAAGGTAAGGTGCTTTACCACTGGGAAATAAGACAAGAAACACACAAATGACTGAACAAAAAAACAATCACAGCTAAAAGTGAAAATGAGTAAAAAAAAAGGTAAAAACCTAAACAAAATAAATTAACATCACATTAAATCTTGTTCTATGGAAATGGCTGTGATAGACACACAGTGTTCAGTTCAGTTATTTGTGACAACAGCGCTCGTCTCAAGGCTCTGATATTGTAAGACTAAGACATAAGAGGCGGGAGACGTGAGCGTCCTCCGCCTGTGAAACTGTTTTGGGGGATGTGTCCTTGTTGCACCTGTTGTTAGTTTCATTAACACCAAAGCAGCTGAACCTGATTAACACCTCTGATACTGAACTAATCAGATCAATATCCCAAAGTTTCACTGACTTGATGTTGAACTGCTCCTCTATTTTGTAACATTTTCTGAGCAGCGTACACCAGACACACTAAAGGCTGCTGGTCACATTAACACTATAAACTGATGTTTTCTGCTTGTGTGATTACAGATTCAGTGAGAGTCGTGTTTCCCAGGCTGCTAATGGTGACATCCAGAAGCCTTCAGCAGGCAGCAGGTAGAGGACGTTCAAGAAGCTGTGCTGCTGTCCAAGACGACGTCTTACTTCTTAAACCTAAACACACAAACTTCTCAAAACAGAGTCTGATGGAGGACTTTATTATGGCAGAGCTTGTGTGTTTCCTACAAACTGGACTATCAGATGAATGAGTTTTCGGATTATTTTCGTGGGCTGCTGGGATGTATGCGTTTGGACCGTGATGAGGGGAAAACAAGATTTCTGAAGTGACGTAATAGGATAGGTTAAAAAAGCTGATATTGGAGTCTGCTCAACTGCAGGAGGAGGACGTCTCCTGAGAAGCAGTTTAGAGGATTCTGACTCTTACAGTAACTTGTACTGTGTACTAGCTAGCATGACAGAGTTTCTATACAGTTGGGTGGGTGCTATGATGTTACTGGTGAACTTTATTTTATTCATATGGTTACTTAGTAGAGTTGCCAACCGTCCCCTAAAAAACGGAATCCTCTGGTATTCAGAATTAATATTACCGTTTCGTATTGAGCTGAAAATAAACGTGATTTGTCTTCAGCTACAATAAAAAAAAAAGACAAAAAGCTGGAGTTATTCTGTCTTTACGCTGTCAGATTGAACTGTTTCTGAGAGACTAATAACACCAGGATCCTTTTCTAAGTAGCTGACAGCTGGTAACTGTGCAGGGGCGGATCTAGAAAAGTGTTGCCAGGGGCCCAGGCAGGGCATTAACAGGGAGAGGGGGGGCACAAAGATATACTTTTCTTTCTTATTCTCATTTAAAATGTCTCGCTTTTAACAAATAATTATCCGAATCTTACAACCAAAGTTTTCATCTGACGTCAAATTTATAGAAATCCATTATTGTACGTAGTAGGTTTTTTTCAGGGTCCCAACATAATTTCTTCAGAAGAAAGTACTGTACACGATGCCAGTATTTTCCCACATTTTCCAGATACTGTACAAGTACTTTGTGTAAAATGCCATCAAAAACTCAGTTAAGTTTTATTCTTTCTCAGCTGTCTTTCTGTCTCCTTTCACTTATAAAAGGTTGCCATGTTAGAAAAAATATTTTGCCCTGGCATGCTGTTTATTGATGTGGTAAATAAATAGCTTATGAAAATTATAAACTGTCATTTATTATTTTTAATATTCAGTAATGGTCATGTCTCACCTCTAGTCTTCTCTGTCTTAATTTCAGGTTTCCACCATGTGTTGTAGATAGTTCAGGAGGTTAACTCGACCAAGCAGTCTTTGGGTTTCGGCTAAGTACTGTTTAGAATACCAGAATAGGGGGGATGGTGGAGGTTTAAGTTTATTAGACTGATACATATATACCAACAAGACAGTGTACATCACTGTGACAACGACATTTGTTTTCATTCAAAGGCTATTTGGTTTTTCCTGTAATACCTGGTGGGCCGGTCTCTAGTCAAAATGCCCAGGCTGATTTTTTGTCCCAGTCCAGCCCTGCGGGGGGACACTGAGCAGAGTGTCTCAGTGTGAGGAAAGTGAGGAGCAGGAAATATAAACCCTGCCTTCCTTCGGCCATCACAGGGAACTTGAGGGTCTCTGGCTAATGAGATGGACAAGCTGTGGGCGCTGGTCAGACATCAGAGGGAGGATTGGAAGTTCACTGTGTTGTGCTTCACAGAGACATGGCCGGACCTCAGTGCCACAGTATCTGGCTTTTTCACTGTTCAGGCTGGAACATGTTACTGTGAAGGCTCTGCTCGCCAGACTCGTTACTGTAATAGGTCAAAAGAAACTAAGTTAAGCAGGTGGTGGGGGGATTCATGCAGGAACTGACTACCTCCATCTTCATGCCCATGCTGTCTGCTAGATGATGCACCCCACTAGCAACCCTCAGTAAAGTTCAATCAACAGCCACAGTTATTAACGGTAGCGCTCCTCTAATGATCTATGGCACGTGGAACTTTGCTAGGATTCACGTCAGTGGCCGGAGAAGGCCATGGAAAAAGACTCCCTCGAAGCTTTCTGGCCAACTTTCAGGGAACTCAGGAGGGTGCTTTCCCTCACTGTGTGTAGTACAGGTGAAGCACTGCTGGTTTCAACTGAGGATATTGTTGGGTGGTGGAAGAAATTCTTCGAGGACTGCCTTAAGTCCAGTGACATGTCTTCTGTAGAGGAAGCAGAGTCTCTGGACTCGTCCATCACTGGGGGCGAAGTCACTGAGGCAGTTAAAAAACTCCTTGGGAGTTGGGAAGAGTTCCAGCCTTAAATGGAGGAGTTTAAGTG